GGATTTCGACAATTAATGTCTCTTCAGTGATGTTAGGAATCGAAAGGGTATTTGGAAGGCCATATAATTTACCTCAATTTAGGATAGACTCTTGAATTTTGAATTTTGAAGAGTCGAAATAGGATGAACGGACCATATAAATCCGAAGGCAAATATAATACAAGCCCAAACGAAAAAATATTTAAATTTGTTTTCCATGCACACGTATAAAAATTGCGGTTTTTATCCAACGCAATCATGAGGTTTGAACGTTGTTTTCAATTTAGACTTGTTTATATTTTTTCGTTTGGGCTTGTATTATATTTGCCTTCGGGTTTATATAATCCGTTCATCTTATTTCGACTCTTCAAAATTCAAGAGTCAATCCTAAATTGAGGTAAATTATATGGCCTTCCAAATACCCTTTCGATTCCTAACATCACTGAAGAGAAATTAATTGTCGAAATCCGGATAAAGTGTACAAATTTTTGCACCTCATGTTTGCGGTATACTATCTTTTCCGCAAGTTTATTGTTTTCTGTTTGGTATTAAATTAATAATTAAGATCCATTTTGTTACATCTTGTGATCCGTTTATTTGGCAATCGCCATGGCAGTCAGCAGGGTTTAAGAACATCCGTTGTTCTGCCTGCTAGTCAAATGCGTTTTGTTAAAATATACTTTTTCACTTTTTTGGTCTTTTGGAAAATGTTGTTTGTGCTGTATTTAGACCCCTCTACCAAGAACTTTGTTTTGCATGCACACGTATAAAAACTGCGGTTTTTATCCAACGCAATAATAGGTTTGAACGTTGTTTTCAATTTAGACTTATATATATATATATATATATATATATATAACAAGTCTAAAAGGGTACAACATCACCAAAAAATAATAATAAAATGAACAAATGTTAAATATTTCGGATAACCAATATCCTTCATCAGTATGATCACGATGTAAAATGAATCATATCAATCTAGTCTGATTATAAAACTATAACAATCTTGAAATTTATACAATAAAACAGTCAAAACTGAACATCATAGAGACGCTTGTACAATTCTAAATTTTTTAAACATAACGTAGGTTATGTAGCTATTTACAACAGAGACTGCAAAGATATGCTTCAAATAAAAATAGTAATGTGCGATATGAACTGGTACAACTCTAAAATTTCAAATGTGACGAGTTTAGATGTTACAACAACGATTGCGTGGAAATACATTCCCAATAAAACGTGAGCACTGACCAATCCAAGCTAGTATAATATTTCAAATTTGACAACGGTAGAGTAATTAAAACAGAGGCTGCGTATTTTAACATCCCAAATAGATAGCAGTTTGATAATGATTAAAAAAATAATAATAAATTTTGACTAAGGTTAAATAATTGAACGTGACTGCGTACTTATACATCCCTCCCAAATGAATAGAACCCTGTAATTTAAACTGGTATAATTAAAAAATTCCTTTAAACTGTCAGAGTCCAGTACGGAAGCCTGAGTTACTGGAAACAAGTGATGGTAGGAAAATGAGTGACTCATTCTATGTTTTTCGTTTATGCCCTCTGGGGAAACTGTCCTTAGCTTTCTTATCCAAAACCTTTCCCGAGCGAGTCTGTCGGCCCTTGACCAACCCTCGTTGTGGTCTATGATTGTGGTGGTAAGGTTTTTGAGATCAGCTTGGGCGTGCCCAGGTGATCTCAGATGACGACTTACGGGGAGGTCGGGCTTGCAGGTGTAGTCACTTCGATGGCCATTCGTGCGTTTGTTGAATGGCTGTTCTGTCTCGCCAAAGTACTGCATGCCACATCGACTGAAGAAGGTATACAACAGTCTGGGTTTATATACATATAGAGGCTTATTTTCATTTGTTCGTGGATGTGCGAAAATAACAAATTTTGTGCACTATATAATAGAATTGAAAAATTAGTTAAGGATAAACTGAGGACATGGATGGGGTTTACAGAGTAGAGAATAATGGCCCCAAAAAATAATTAATAGAGAAAAATGAGCAAAGAATATAAAAGAATAACTGTGGAAAATAAAAGAAGTAGGTAATACCAGAAGTCAATTACTAATACAATATATACTGGTTACAGAAATAAAGACATACAATTGTATCAATATATATCTCTGCAGAAATGAAAGATAAACAGAATAAAAAAATGAACTAACTACAGAATGATTTAATAGTAAAATTAATTTTCAAGAAAATTTTACAGAATAAGCGTTATTTTCAAAGATAAAGAACAAATGCCTGAATATTTACTAATATTTCGGATCACCATACAGACCCTCATAAACCCTGCACACATACATAGCGGATTAAAACAAATTGTTAATCCAATCATAAGTTTTTTTTACAAAAGTTCTACAGCTGGAAGCATTTTACCGTTTATGAAGGTCTGGATGGGGAGTTATCATTTCTGTATTCTATAATATTTTTTGCTATTTTTCTCTAATCTTTATAAATTTTGCCCATTACTCTCTATTCTTTATATCGGCTAGGGCCCCATTATTCTCTCTTCTTTATTTTTTGGTTCATTTTTTAGTAGTTTTGGCTCATTTTTTTCTATTCTGTAAACCCTAGGACTATTATACTAATAGTTAGTATAATAGTCCCAGTTAAACCCTATTCGGATTATGTTTTAACAATAGGCTACCTACATTTATAATATTTTACATTCAAGTTTTATAATAGTCCCAGTTTGTTATCTAAAAAAAATAATGACTTAATGTTTACCTTGTTGAATGGACCAAGGATTTGTATACCCTAGAATACAACCTTGAATGGACCAATAGGAGGTTTTATCGATGACGCCATCTCGGTTCTATTTTTAAATATAAATCATTTAAAAACTCATAATGAGGCAGTATTTATAAAGGATCATTCCCTTTTTTAATGATAAATCTGTGTTTTACAAAATCTCCAATACCGATCGATGTCGATACAAAATTTACGATTTACAGTTATAGATGTAGGACTCTTCTAAGTGCGATGGGGACGCTAAAGTACGATGGACAATATATAGATACAAAATATTATACGCATAATTCTCCTGTATCGTGCTTCTGTTGGAAGCGGACGGATACATTTAAATTATTGTTTACGTTGCAGTTACAACATTGTCGATGTTATTGAAAATTAATGTCGGTAAAATAAAGGAAGATTTTTCCAAGCGTAAATTATAAATTGCCGACTAAAACATTAGTTGACTGTTCGTACATTGTAGGAAATTCAATATATAACATATGCATTTGTATTCGCTACGAAACAGGATCGAGAAAGCTCGGCGAACATCGCCTTTCTCTCACATTTAAAATTAAAGCGCGTACAAATAATAAATGTTACATATTCCGACAATGAACGAATTTTGTATTTGTAATTTACAATAACGATTGTAAGGGGCGGTGTTCACATTATTGATAGACTGTGTGAACACCAATTATCCGAATATTTAATACGCCCGAATTGTTATAAATTCATTTACAGGAAATATAGTCTTTTTTGTGACACCTAAATTACATTTTTAGTAATTATTACGTGGTCGGTTTTCTAAATTTAGAAACATTCACTTAAGCCTACCTGTAAATTATAAAGCCTATCACATATATGTTATACCCTAAAATACTAGCTTTTGCAAAAGCGTGTTATACCATCGTACTTTTGCAAACAAACATCCATTCCCCTTTAGCGTATTACACCATCGTACTTTAATAAGCGTGACCATCGCACTTGCGCGTATCCCGGCATCGCACTTTAGCGTGACCATCGCACTTTAGTTAGCGTGACCATCGCATTTTAGTTAGCGTGACCATCGCATTTTAGAGTACCATCGAACTTTAGAGTCCTACATATATATTACGAAACAGTAAACATGTATTTAGAATATAAGGTACGAAATGGTATAAGCAGTTAGTCCCATAGGGTACGAAATGACATATGCAACTATTCCAGTCATAATTACGTTCGATAACTCTGCATGTTACTGGTTTAATTAGGATTATGTAAAATTTACTAGTTACCCGATGAATGGTTTAAAGAAAATTGAAAAATATAGTTATTTCACCTCGGTTAATATCCATTCGAGGTCTTCTTTTATAAATATAAAATAATAACGTAATGAATTTCATTGAGAATCTGACAACACTAATCAACATAGGTATTGTCAAAACATACATCTACATAGGTATTGTCAAAACTTACATCGTGATTAGGTGCCATGCTTGTTTTCTTTGATTACGTTGATGTTATGACTTAATATCTCCTTAGTCTAGCTATGTCCTTGGCTATCATTATAGTGACAATAATGATTAACGTGTCATATTTAATTGCAATATAAACAGTAAAATTAAATTGAATTATTTGCATGGACAAAATAAGTGTCGAACATCGTCTACGTTTGAAAATTATTTGGTCGCCATTTTTTTTAATTTTTATAAAAAAACAACAGCATGTATCAGCTTTATCAAAAGGAACCAATGTTTGATTCTATGCTACTTTAAGGTAAGACAATGGCTGAAAACGCAAGCATCCAACAGTTATTTGATTTTCATTGTAACAATCTTACAAAATATATTTTTACCAAGTCGGCCCACGCTGTCAATGTGGTCGCCATCTTGAAAAATAATACCCGATTTTCTGAAAATAGCTAATATTCAAATCAATTTGGAAAGGACGTAATAAAAAATTAAACTATTGCATGTACGATATTTTTTGGATACGAAACTGTAATGGTACGAGCTGCTTAAGGTACGAAATGACTAGCTGCCCAATTTTAACAACAGAACAGAACTGGTACGTTCCTCCTTTCAGAGGAGCACCCAAAGGATTTTCTTTTCCCCAACATCAATATGTACATTAATATTTACAAAAGCCTTAACGTTATTTAATTTTAATTTAAACTAAATGTCAGTAGCAAAGTTATATACACTATAAAATATTTACAGAAACTTTTTGTAGTAATCCTTGTTGATTAGGGTCTTTAGTGTAACCCGACGAAGTTGTGTGCCGACAACTTCCTGTTACAAGTTGGGAAGATCTTGCAAAATAGCTCGATAAATAACAAAAATGGACAGGCGTAGATATAGTTGACCATTTAATAAAAATGGAGGGCTTATCAGCCACAGAAAATCTGTTTGAAAAATGGATGTTGTTTTCGACAAAGGTGAACAACTACAGACATTACTAGTTAAATTTTGATGTAACTGTAGAGTGGGTCGCCAATAAATTATAGTCGTCGCATAAACCGTTCATTTTAACCTACGGCCTACATACATTCAAACTTCATCAACTTATTATGCAATTTTTTAAAAGTTAACTAGTAAATTAACTCGTCTGTCAGATGAAGGAGAACTTCAAGACATTCGTTTTTTAATAATAGGTCTACAGATGAGCAAACTTGAGAAGAAATCAAGTATTCCTAAAACCATGGGGGACTCATTTTATTCAGAGATGAATAGATTGGACAAATATCTGATATATAAATGACTGAAGTTTTTATCTCGTCTGAGAAAAAAATTACATCTTACTAGTTTCAGATACTTACAATTCAATCAGCAATATATTACTATTAGGCTTGTCAAATCTTTCATCTTAATTTCTCAACCTTTTCATATCTGATGATGCTTGAAAAAGTGACCTATTCCAGCGGCTCCTCGAGGGTTGGCAAAGTATCACCCAGGCAGGAAAACCTGGGTTCAGGTTTTTCCCAGCTGGGCAATACTCCCTAAAATGAGCAATACTGGGCGCTATATTTATTTAAGCTTATTTATACACAGAATAGTAAAGAAATATTGTCATGATTGTAGTTGCTAAATATATGCATCTACTAGAGATAAACTTAAAGAGTCAATTTCAGAGGATAAAAATATCAATTCTTCCTTGCCTCGAATAATTCAAAATCTAGGAAGATTTAACAATTAAATTGTGCAAATTTTTAGTTGCTAAAGTTTGACAATATAATTATTCAGGAACATAAAGTGAAAGACATTCTACAAAAAACCAATGTTTATAAAACATCTGGTCATGATGGAATTAGCCCAAGACTTTTGAAAATTGCCTCAAATATTTTATCAAAACCTAAAGTGCTATATATATATAAAATCTTAGTTTAACTAAAATGTATTATCCACTAGCTTGGAAGTTAGCTAATGCTATTCCTGTTTTTAAGAAGGATGAAAGAAATTCTATTGGTAATTATAGACCAATCTCATTGTTCAGTGTTTTAAGTAAAACCTTTGAAAGATGTGTATATAAACATGTTATGAACTTTATAAGAAATCTCTTGTCGGAACACCAGTCGGGGTCTATGTTAAAAGACGCAACTCGTAACCAGCTATTATACTTGACTCATGTTTTTTGTAAGGCCTTAGATGAGAGGAAAGATATTAGAACTGTCTTCTTTGATATAAGTAAAGCCTTTGACGGTGTCTGGCATAGAGGTTTACTATTTAAATTAAAAAAGATGGGCATAACTGGGAATCATCTTCTTTGGCTCAAAATTATTTTGCTGACCATAAACAAAGGGTGGTTATAAATTGGCAAGTGTCCTCCTCAGCAGACATTGACTCGGGTTTCACAAGGGTCTATTTTTGGTAATTGTTATTTTTAGTTTTTATTAATGATATTGTAAATGAGGTTAAATGTCATATATTAAGCTATTTGCTGATGACAATAGCAATTATGCAGTCGTGGAAAATCCCCTTGGCACACCCATTACTCTATATTCTGATATGCATTGAATTAAAAAATGGGCAGATAAATGATGGATAGTAATATAATAAAAACTGTAAAGTCACACAAACACTTTGGATTAAATTTTTTCGAGTGACAGCAGCTGAAAAATACAAATTGATGGCTTCATATCAAAAGCATCTGTCTGTCTGAATATGTTAAGAAGGCTTAAGTTCAAAGCAGACAGAAAAACACTTGAAGTTATGTATTTTTCATATGTTTGGCCTATTTTAGAGTATGTCAATATAATCAGGGATAATTGTCCAGAATATTTGAAAGATCGACTGGAACAAAAAAATTATGAGACAGTAAGTATAGTTACTGGGACTTCTAAGTTAACAAGTCTACAAATTTTTCTAACAAGAGACCGGTAGGAAACTCTCAGGGAAAGGGGGAAAAATCACAAGCTTATTTGATTTCATCAGATGGTTAACAATAACTCTCCAGCCCATCCATCAAATTTTGTCCCTACCATATTTGGTCAATCACATCTGTATGGGACACGTAATGCAGGAAACTTACCGTGTGACGCGTTGCGGGGGACATAGAAATATCGGGCGTCCATCTGTCAATCCATCTGGTCTTGTTAGCGCTCTCACATGTACAATTCTTGCCAAATTTTTATAACACTTATATCATATATTTATATCAGCAATGTCTCGGACGAGTTCGAAAATCAGTGCCGCTCAATTATTTTTAAAAGAGTTATGCCCCTTGGAAACATTAATAATATGGAAAATTGAATTGTAAGGACTCTCATGTGTACAATTTTTGCCAGATTTTTATGAAACTTTTATAATAGGTTTATATTAGCAATGTCTTGGACAAGTTCAAAAATCAGTGCCGATCAATTATTTTTAAAAGAATTGTGCCCCTTAGAAATATAAATTATTTGGAAATTTGCAATATAAGTGCTCTGTCACCAGGCTCATTTGGACTTAATTTTTATCATCATTTTATTTAGAAATTGGATTTTTAGAAAACATATTATTTTACAAATTGAAATATTTACATGTATAGACAAATAATGTGTTAATCTTAGTTAGTGACATTTGATGTTGAAATATTTGTGACAGAATTATTTATCAAGTTAAAGAAATTAATATGAAAGACATTAATTCATACTAAAGGTGCGAAAATTATTGAAAGAATGAGATTATATATGAGTATTATAAATTATAATTATCTTTTATATTAATTAATGTGAATGCTGTCACTTATAGCTTAAAGTTATGAAATGTCATTTTAATTGCAGTATTGTCATGTTAATTGAGTATTGTCTTTTTTTTTAAATATTTAGTATAAATATTTATTGTAAACTTTGTGAAAACATACTTTGAGTTAGAAAGTAAGATACAGTAGGAGTCACATTATATTGACATTGTCCTTTGTATATGTTATATTAGTGCTTTGGCTTGGAATTAAATTATATAACTTGAATGTGTTGGATCTTCGTGAACTGCAACAACTAGTTCCTGATATTGGTGACCTTCAAGATTTAATTGTTTTTCTAATGATTTTACAAATCAAATCATGACCCCGTAACATTTAGGGAGCCAAGACAAGAGTCCCAACTGCGCCCCTATTGGTTACAGCTCTCACATGTACAATTTTGGCCGTTTTTTTTTTTTATCATATTCATATCAAAGGTTTTTAACAGCAATATCTTGGACAATTTTCGAAAATATTATTAATGAGTTAAGCCCCTTGGAAATACATTTTATTTTTAGTTATTGCCCTTGGAAAGATAAAATATGTGCAATGCAGGGGACATTGGAACTCTGTTCTTATATAACTGTGGTAGTAGACTAGGACAAATTTTGCAAACTAGAATCAGAACTGAGAGCAGTGGTCTGAATGAAAATTTGTATAGAAAAAATTAAGTTACTGATCCTTTCTGTAAATGTAAACAGATTAAAACCTCTGAACAGTTTTTGTCCCTATACCAATTCCTTAGAGAGTTTATGCTGAGTAACATGTCATGTCAGCCTAATATTCATGACTTACTGTATGGTAATCCTTTGATATCCGACATTGAAAATACTGATAACTTACTTATTATTCAAGATTTTCATGATTTTATTCTTAAAACAAAGAGATTCTGGTGATACTTCTTAGTTCAGTAAAAAACTTTATTTTTGATGCCATCCATCTATTATTATATCATATAGGAGAGGAATTCACTTGTTTTCCAATCCTAATAAAACTGTCATATTGTAATGTTTATGTCAATATTTTCACAATGAAATATTGTTTACACTAAAAATGAGAAATTGAAATAATTTCATATATAATGCATAAAATGAACTATTGTCAAATTGTTAAAAGAATTTGAGAAATAAAACAAAACATCAGTTATTTGAATTTTACGGATGTGTAGTTAAGCATGGGTGCAATTTAGGATTTTCCTTATTACAGAATCTTAAATTGTTTGGGGGTCAATTAAAACCCATTTTTCTATGATTCAGTATGGATTGCAGGCTGGCTTGTTTATTTTTATAATTATTTTGTGCACAAGTTTTTTTCTGCATTTCATCCTCTGTCTACTGCAATATTATGTATTTTCAATTTTTCAATTTTTACCAAGCCATTTTATTCATTTCAAAAATTGTCATTTTCAATGTATTTTCATTTTATATTCAATATTAGGATTACATTCATAGAATGCAATTGGATAAGGAGATAAAAAAGACAACTTTTTGCAATTTAATTTATTTTAAAATAAACTGACACAGAGATATACATTGGATGTCTAGTCTGTATGTAATTTGATCGTAAAATGTAAATGATGAAATTAAAATAGCAATATTTTTACATGCAAATATTCAAAGTCAATGAAGCGTGAATGAAGGTACAGGGCCAAATAACTTCTGTGGAAATAAGATATTCCCATGCTATTATAAATGCTTACTAAATATCATTGAATTACTATAAGGGGATGTAAATAACTTTGCACAAGATAGGATAAAAATGAATATTCTGCAACACAAAATGCGGGAATCTAATGTGTACAAAAGTGAAAATAAATTTTTGTGCTGCAAAGCCACGGAAAAAAATAGGCATGCGTAGCATCAGAAGAAAATTAATGATCGAATGCTGAAAAAATCCTCCTCCCCAGCCAAAATATTAAATGGTTTTCCCCTAAGGGTTTCATCTCAAACTGACTTAATCACAAACTATGCATTGGTTTCAAAGTCTATATACCATGACTAGGGGCAGGGCCAAATAATCTCTAGGGAAATGAGATGTGCCAATACTTATATAACTGCATACCAAATATCATTGACTAATCATTTGTCATAGTGATTCTCCTTAAAACTGATCAAATCACAAACTTTAACATTTGATTTAACGCTATGAAAATTTAAAGTCAATAAATAGACCATGACTGAAGGGGTGGGGACAAATAATCTCCAACATAAACAACATACC